CGAAACGAAGTCATTTAGAATGTTTTTAGAGCATAAACAGTAGTGTATAGGATTTCCTAAAAGCGCGTTCACGAGTCTAATGTCAGCAGGCAGCAAGAAGCCTCCCAGATCTCCAGATGCATTTGAGATATCAAAAAAGTACTCCAGAGTGTTGTTCAGCATGGGGGTGAGTAGAAAATGAAGGCTAATCATGTTTTGGGTGTACTATTCCTTTAAACAGCTCACATGTTTGTCAGTGAAGCTGAGTGCTCCACATCTCTGCCTTCATGGGGCCCATCTACATTAAGATCCAACATGCTGAGATTAAAGTCAGAATTCTAAAATTAAAACCAGGTTTATGCGATTTAAGTCAGAATTTTGACTTTTTTTCTCATACTGAAATAATTTTTTTTTTTAATCAGTTAACTTTTGTTTTTTTAGCGGCCCTAATCTTCTTCTGTACAATATGTTGTGAGATGTGATTATTTTGCAGGACTTTGAAATAAAAACTTTGATTTAGTATAGCAGCTATAACCGGTTAATAATTCATATAACTGTGAAATTATTAAGTCCAGGTTTAATCATTGTATTTTGCTTTTTAAACTTGTTTTAGTCTAGTGTCAGGATAACGTTACACATGTTTTTTGTGTTTTTACAAGAATCTCTGTTCACTGTAACATTTTTCATTTGAACAAAAGACATTTTAACGTATTCTAACTGTTTTGCTCCTCCATGGCTCAGATTTCATACTGCCCTAACTAAAAGCCACTAATGGTTAAATAATTTAGGATAATAAGGCATAATCCCAGTGGCATATGGTGCCAGTTCCCCCAAGACATAGATACAAGGACAACAAAATAGTAATGATCCAGTAATAACTAATCTAGTTGAGTGTGTATAGCAGGGAAGGACAGATCAATGTTTAAAAGAAAATAAGAACCCCCCCAGACATGGAGATTTGACATATTTTTTAAGAACCTATTTTACCCATCGTTTAGCATTTCCCAATTTATCTTAATGGTAAAAACTATTGGCAATGCATGCTTGTAATGGATCAAAATGGATGATAAAACTGTGAAGTTAATATCTTATTATTGAATATCAAGCTTCAGAGTCAGACACCAGATTCAAAATCATGAAACACCAATAGATGTTGTTATATAATGCTTTTATTGTGTAAACGATGCATTGACGTTCCCGATTGTACCCCCCCCACCAAAAAAAAAAATTTAAATAACAAAAACATATAATCTCCAACCAACACATTTGATTTTCATATTGGTGGCATTAAAAAAGCAATAAAAAATGTTATTGCTACAAAAAAATATCTTCAACATGTGGAGGAAGAATAAAAAGTAACTTTCTTGCCTTCATGGAAAAAAAAAATGTATGGCTGTAATGCTAACAGTCTACATCCCATTTAAAACACCATCACCTATGAATAGAAAGTGTTATAATGAGTGTTTGTTGGAGATAAACCCATTTTGGAGACAAACTGTACCTTTTTTTGGATTTCTTCTTTTTTTTCAATGTAAAAACTATATATCTTTTTCCTGTCACTTGTCAACTATGGGCTACATGGTTTCCATCTATCACTGTCGCCTAAATTACAAATATAACACATTAAAGTTTACAGTTTGCTCACAGTGAATTATGGGAATATGGGTGAAAATGCTTTTGCCAGATAGTGCATAGGCCATGTCCAGGCTCTTCAAAATGAACCATCATCTGCCCACCCACATGATGTCAGACAGTAGGGAGAACCGTGACACCGTGACCCGTAATTAGTGCTCAGGGGGGCCCAGCTTCTGTTCCAACTGCTTGTCAGGGAGAAAAATGACTCTCTGCATGAAAAGGGACAAGGAAGCGTAGCTGGCCAGGCTAACCCCCGGCCCAGACATCAGAAAGCTTTGAAGTTACATCAGAAAAAGCACCTGTAGACAACAAAGCTACCAAAGGACTATGATCTTATGGGTGGTGGGGGGGACAATAACTGATCAGGTTGCTGTACGTTCAGAGCCTCATGTCTAAAACAGAAATGATATTGTGTGCGCCACTTCAGAAAAGATCTTCATTCATGATTTTTGGTGGCACAGTCCCCCTCCTCCAAACAATCTGTTTCCCTGTACTCTCTAAAAGCATATCGACAGAGCAAAGAGCCTTTCAAGTGTGACACACCTGACCTTTTTGGCAGCCCCCCCTCCCTACTGCCACCACCACCTCCCTTCCAAACTGGCTCTCCTAAGCCTTTGTCTGCAAATGTTCCTGTCTTGATTTGATTTGCTCTCTCTGGCCAGGCTGGAGGTGCAGCGGGGAGCAGCTCGGGCTTTTTGTTGCAGCAAAATCTTGCTAATTGAAAACAACTCCCTCTGCGTTTCCCTCTCCCTGGGGGAAAACCGACTGTCTCCTCCAGCAGACTTCAAGCATTGGAGGGAGCCTTTTCCATCTGCCCTTCACTTGACTTAATATGACACATGCAGCTACATACTGGGGATTATGAAGAGGCAAAGACTTTAATGCTTTGCTATTTTAAGTCTAAAAAAGACCTAAGCATTACATTTTCAGTGCACATGCTAATGTAGATCCTAAGTTGTCTGGGCCATGGTGAGTGAATGAGAACATGAATTTTGTCAATGTCTGGAAGCAGAGTCAGCTTTGAATCACCATGTTTTTACAAAGCAATAAATAAGGAAATTGAAGAGAGTTTTACTTTGCTCTAAAAAACAAAAAAACAAAAACAAGTAATAAAGTAAAAAGGGAAATAAAACATTTTTTTTTGTAAATATCCTTATATACAGTGATCATTTATGTGTCATGATTTTATCTAAAGCTCTGACCCACATGCAGAAGACCAAACAGAGAGACCAGGGAAAAGTTAAACAGGTTTTATTGAGAGTAGGTTGAGAGGAGTCCATTGGGACTAAAAAGTGAAGGGGAAGATTCTGTGGTTAGTTCAGGCTCAGTGGGAAATTTGTGTCTTCGACTTGAAGAAGGGAATTAAAGCAACAGGACTCACGTTTCCAGAAAAAGGTGTCTCTTGTTGAATTTAGTCGGTGTGGGTTGTTTCAGTGAATGACTTGCTCGTTGGAGGGCAGACAGGGTTTACCCAGGCTGCGGTTTTTCCTTGAAGAACGGAGGAGCTGACTGCCACTTAATTTTCCTGCGGTACTTGAACGGATTCCTGTAGAGATGAAAGCCCTGCTCAGAGAGACGCCCAAACAATCCTTGGGGAAAAGTAGATCCAAACCACTAGCTTGAATCCTCAGCTCAGCTTGATGCTCAGAGAATCCTTCCAGGGGGGAGAAGGTCCAAAACATCCAGTTTGCAGAATGACTTCCTGCAGAGAGGCAAAGACAAATACTACAAGGTTAAGACTCAGGTGACAAAAACTCAGTTTGACTCAGCAAAACTCAGCTTGGCTAGAGTACCCAAAATTGGCAAACACTCTGGCGTGAGCTAGTGGCAGTCAGCAGTTTAAGGGCCCTCCGGTAATAAGGCAACCATCCGCAGGTGTGAGGAGGCCAACCAGAACCAGGCGCCGCCTGGTGGAGGAGGGAAGTCAAACAAAAGCACAACCCACACAAACTGGATTCCTAACAATATGCACAAATACCCAGCGACAGCCTAAGCTCGGATGGGGCCCTCAGTGAAAACTAATTTTGAGACCCTCTATTTCTGCCTGTAATATAGATTATTGCATTTTAGTTAGATACTCAGATCATTCACACACCTATTTTAAACTAATTTCAGCTCAGGTAGTGCTGATTACATGATCCTACATGTAATTTACAAGTATTTAAGCCAAAATCGTAATCTGATTTACTATTTTTGTCTTTTTTTGTTTCATAAACCTGCAACAGCAGTGAGCAACATTAATCTACAGTGCAGGAACATGTAAGATAGGACTGAATATAATACATTTAATTGCCAAAAATATGAAACACATATTTAAATAAAAAGTTATCTGAAACCAGGTAAGACAAATAGTTAAGAAAAGCAATTTTATCATGAAATTGTATGTTTTTATTGAAGTCATTATACATAAAAAAAAAAGATTACCCTTGTGCAGCCCCTAGTACCCTAAGCAACCAGTTAATTTGCTTATGCTTTGTATTGTGATAGGCTCCAAACAGCCCTTTACATAAACTTAATTAACAAATGTTTCCAACCGATGCATCTCTTGATTGTCCTAGATCAGCCAGTGATACTGTGTTATCTGCAAGCCTCAGAAGTTGTACAGATGGGTTCATAATGTTCAGGTATAACCACAATCTTCTACGTGATTTCATGGAATATCTTGTCTAAAGTCATTTTGACCCATATAAGTCTAAAATCTTTGGCATATACATATTAAGCCCCTCTGATCAAAACATTTGTGAAGCCGTGTTTCGTTGCAGTTTTCTGGTTCTGATTGGATGGAGACATTGTTTTGAAAACAATTTTAAAGCCTTGCCTTTAAAATTGGTTTATTACCTTTGATGGGAGGACGATACCAATTAGAACAAATTATAGCTCCTGTTCTGTTCCTCCATCTTTCTTGGGTTCACTAGTAAGAGCACACTAAAAAGTGAATGCAGCTCCAACTTAAATGAATGGATTTAATTGGTAACAAGTAATTGAATCAAGCTGAGCCAATTTTTATTTAATTTAATTTTGAGTTTATAAGTTGCAAAGTTACATTGGTTAATTTGGGCAATTTTTTTCAATTACTTTTTACCAACTGAAGCAGTTCATTTAAGCTGGAGATGCATCCTCTTATTTAATGGGTAGGAAGGGAACTTCAGACAGCATTACTGAATCCAGACATCATTAGGCGTTAGAAAGGCACATGGAGTAGAGCTTTAAGACTGGAGCCACAGCCTCCTGGAAAGACAAAAAAACGCAAGTTTTACAAATGGAACAAAAAGCTGAAGCTCTCCACTATAAAAACCAAAAAACACATTAATTGTGTAAATTTGCATGTGTCACACAGAGTACATTTAAAGAAAAACATTAATTTTTTTCAAAATTCAGTGAGGTATCCTCTGCCCCAAAAAGATTATGGGAATCCATATAGCTCCTATGAAGCGGTTAGCAACGTCTAGAGGTCCGTTTACTAAATTATCTATCAATCGGCTCTTCTTACCTGCTTCCTTAGTGCTAGCAATATTTAGATCCACCTATCATGGCAGCCTCTGTGCTTTGGCTTATCCGATCAACCTCCATTACAGTTTCAGTGTCTGCAGCATCTTGCAGGTTTCCATCTGGATGTTGCTCCGTTCATCTTTCTATGAAATTACACAAAAGAAAAGCATCCCTAAAGCATGATGCTGCCACTACTTTACTTTACCAAGCCAACAGGGTTTCTTTTTGCTTTTTGTATTAGAGTAGAAATATATATATGTATATATTTGAAATCATATCTAAAGGTCATTGAACTCTGTTTGATTTTTACATAAAATCCCTAATAAATACAGTCAGTTATGTAGCTGAAAGTTGGCTAATCTTAAGGGGTTGAATACTTTTTCAGGGCCCTGTAAACACCAACGCTGTATTTATTAATTTTTTTGTGTGATGCTGTAGACACACCTGACGGTTCAATTTATAATAGAGGAAAGATTGTGGCTCACCATGTTTACTCTATGCATGGATGTGATCTCAAACAATAAGGCAGATGGTCAGTCAGTAGCATGAGATCATTGATTAGGTTTTCCCAGCCCTCAGGGAAATATGAGGGAAGGGGAGGCTGTGCTGGACTGTTATGACCTAATAGAGACTGAAGGTGCACTCTAATGTGCTATAACTTTGATGAGGAGTAATATTGAAACATCATTTGAAGTTTTAAGAATGAATTTCCTGTAGTATTTCAAGGGAGGAGGAGCAATAAATATCAAACCCTCATAAAATCAGTCAAGGCAGCCCTGCAGGAGCATGATGAGTTTTCTGCATGCAGAAATATAAAGACATTAATTCTAATCATCCAAAGCTGTCTGACAATCCTGCATGGTTCCAGAAATGGTTTCATGAGCAGAAATAATCAACTGCAAATAAGACGAGGTAATTTACGGTCCAATCCTTGCACATTCAAACACTGTTGTGCTGCAGCCTCTGATCAACGTTTCACCTCTTGCTGGGAAACATGTGAGATGACGGCTGCCCTCTGAGACAGTCCTTGCAGTATTGCAGAAACAAAAGGGTCATCCATTTGCTGCTAAACAATTCCAGCTTTCTGCACAGTCAGTACCTTGTTTGTCAACCCACTTCTGGCTGTAGATGACGCAGCGCTGAGAGCAGGATGAGACAGCTAGAGAAGACAAAATAAACAGAGAGAAAAAGGAGAGAGAGTGCTAGTAATGGAGGGATGAAGTCACCAGATGGTACAGTGAAAAGAATAAACAATGGGAACAATAAACCGGTTTTTATTCAGAGTGCTTCTGTAAAGCCTTAACTGCAACACCCCATGCAGCTCATATGGAGCAGGCAGCTCTAGTATCAGCAGGGCAGGAAATACTTTCTAAACTCTTCGTTTAGGAGCCTCTGAAAGGAAGGAGTGCTTCACCCAAACAAATACCGTGTGAATGGATGTTAGAGTTGGAAATATTTACTTGTCACAGTGTCATTCTGTAGAAGTTACAGAGCCAAAAAGAGTTCACACTTAGCAAATATTTTAATACTCTGTAATCTTTATTCTCTTTTATCTGGATCCTCTGAGTCAGACCAACATAGGCAGCACAGACATTTAAAGTGGAAGAACAAATTGGGCCCTATTTTCAAAAATTTGTTTTAATAAAATACTTGGAAATGGAACCAATATTGCATAGACAGATGTTTCATTTTTCAGTTTCGGACTTTGACTAGGCCATTGTTGAAAAAACAAAAAGTCTAAACCTCTCTGGCTCTGCCTTTGAATTGTTGTTCTGTTTTGAAGGTGAATCTCCACCCCAGTCTCATGTCCTGTGTGGCCTTTAGCAGATAATCCATTATTGTTCTGTTCTTATCTCAGGCTGTCTAGTTATTATTTAAAGAATGCCTTTTTTTCATACTAATGTTGTTAAGTTTGTCACACATAGTGTTTCACATGAGGGGGAAATAATAATTAAACTTTGTTGATCTCACATTGGAGAAATGTACCCTTGCATTTAACCCATCTCTTTGGGGAGCAGTGGGCTGCCATCATGGAGCACCCAGGGAGCAGTGTGGGGTTAAGGTTCTTGCTCAGAGACCCAGAGTGGCAGTCTGTGGGAGTGGGGCTTGAACTCAGAACCTCAGGATTCAAAGCTCTACATCTAAACCACTAGGCTGCCAGACTCCAGGAATGTTTAAAAATGTTCAATCCAGGTCTAATTTTACCAGGATGCCTCCCACCTCTACAGCTCACACATTGGATTCATACATGGCTCATACTTCAGAGCAGCAGGTTGAGCCAAACATCCTCTAAATGTGCAGGGTCATCTTGAGCACGCCGTTTCACTTTTCTTTCACCAGTTCACCGCAGTTCTTCCAGCAGTCCACACTTTCTCTGCTCTCTTTTTCTCATGGTCTTCTCCTTCTTTCCCATCGCCCGGCTTGCCACAGGTTTGCCTGCTGTGTCTAAAAGTAGCAGCAGCAGCAACCCAGACTGACAGCTCATTGGCTCATTTGGATCACGTGCAGCCTGGAGCCGGACGCTCCCCAGGGCTTTACCGTATTAACAGGAGAAGAGGCGCAAGTGAAATTAGACACTGTTGTTGGACAACATGTGGTAATTTATAAATGTTTTAATTCAGGTTGGGTCCGGATTAGCCAGCAGGTGGCTCCGCTAATCTGTTAGCTCTGCTGTAGAGTATCAAAGTATAAAGGTGTCAAATAGAAATTCAATTGAAGCCCATTGCTTTGTGTTGATCTTTTATTCCAAATGTAATAATATTTTAAGCAGGTGAAGAGGTGTGGATTTTTAAGAGGCTGTATGAATACTTTTTACAAGTATTTACAAAATATAACATTCATTCACTTAACATCATAAGTATTCGTCTCACATATAGCATGTAACTTGAATGAATGTATTTGTTATTTCGGCCCCAGCAGATGGCTGGACCTCTGCTGGAGGTTTCTTCCTGTTAAAAGGGAGTTTTTCCTCTCCACTGTCGCTACAAGCATGCTTAGTGTGAGGGATTGCTGAAGAGTCAATGAATCAATGCAATCAACTGGTTTTCCTTAGATAGAAAACTTTGTATCAATTTGACTGGATGATCTGGTTGAACTGTAAAGTGCCTTGAGATGACATGTGTTGTGAATTTGGCGGTATAGAAATAAACTGAATTGGATTGAATTGAATTATTTACCCATTTGAAGCATCTCTGAGCAGATGAAGTGAACCAGTACTTAGATAACGGCTCAGGAAACTGGTTAATGGACTTCCTTATCAGTCTGCAAAATATTGATTAATTGATTTTTATTTTTTCCTTGTGTTTAGGTGACAGTTATGGGGACATTGAAAGGAGACCTGTGCATTGATCCTGGTCAGTCACAGCTGCTTTTGTTGCACCCTCTTATATACTTTGAATCAATCTCTACTGGTATGTCGAATTAATTTCTGTTTCAGTAAAGAAACAACAATATAGAAGTCTGTTTGAGTCCTTCAAGAAAGCATTCACTGTGGAAACAAAAATAGCAGTCGCCAGAACTAGGGCGGCACATGTACTATAAATAAATGCTGTATATGAATGTAGTGCACACTGTGAGAGTCAAGGTTAACGTGTGGCAGTGACAAGCTCCTGAGCAAGCAGTTGGCTTATGTTGTGCGCCAGGACACCTTGACTTATCCCCACCCCCTCCATCCACCAGACGCCGTTACCGAACCCTGAAAAGACTCAATGGTTGCTTCCTGAAGCACATCTGCAGTGGCATGAATTAAGATGTTTACCTTTTGGTGAATTGTCCACAGCAGGTCTCACTCGGCAGCTTATTGTCCACCTTCCTACAGGTCAGCGGTTTTTCCTGTCCCATAAATCACCTGAGCTGACTTCGTCCAACATGGTTTTTCCGGAATGAGAGTGCATGTTTGTTGGGATTTGCAGTGATTGTTGGTGCTGATCCTTTCCTACCGTTAAGGTCACAGCGCTGGAGGGCATGAAAAGGCTGGAGCAACAAACAAAATAATACCCCCCCCCACCACCACCTTTTCTTTTCCACCTCCCTACCCCCCGCTTCATGGAATGTGTTCGGCTCCTATCCTCGCTGGTATCCGCTCATTTCTCTATCGTGTCAGAGTGGGAATGTCCTGCAGGTGAATGCAGCCCAGTCTGTCAGCTCACACAGGTAGTGGTTACTCTGTAACGTTATGCTTTATGATGAGGCCCTCTGTCTTTACTTAAATCAATATTAATCCAACCTTATAATATATGTTAAGATTATGGATTCCAAAAACAACACCTGCATTCCCTGACATGGCATGTCTTGACATGCTGCGTAATCTATTTTAATATAGGCTAAGGTTTAAAAATCCTGAAATCCTACCACTGATGTAAAACTACCAGAGGTGTAACCATCAGCTCAGAAGACAGGAGACACATTTTTCAGGTCTGTTGAGATATTTATCTTCATTTCCTTACACCAAGGAGCTAACTTTCTTTCTTTACACTAAACTCTGGTTGAGTTGACACATTGAAATTATTGTATACGTATCTATTAAGTACGGTGGCCCTGAAGTGCAAACTGCAACTACAAATCTAAAAGCGCAACTAAATTAAGGAAATCGCAACTACATAAAGCAAAGCGCAACTACATTAAGGAAAACACAATTCCATTAACCTACCGGAAAAGGTAGGTACCAGTGGGAAACATGAGACATCGCTGATTGGACGACGGCGCCGTTTGACCCTTGAACCGGAAGTTGCGTCTGAACAGTCCAGCTTCTTTTAACTGTGTCTTCAGTGTACGCAAAC